ACAGAGAATTATGAAACTTGACATTTCTTCCTCCTTCTCTACTAATTCAAACACCAAAATGAGATGAAAATATAATTGAGAGAACTTTCAGTCAAGATTATCTTGTTAGTTCCAAATTTGAAGCCTAATCTCCTCCCCTTTGCTCCAAAATCATTAACAGTAATAGATGAACCCTAACGAGGAAACATTTAAAACACATAGTAGCCGGGCTCGGTGGCTCAGCCTGTAATCCCACGCCTTTGGGAGGCTGAGGTGAGTGGATTGGCTGAGCCCGCGGATTCGACCCCCACCTGGGCAGGTGAAACCTCATCTCTACAATAAATCAAAAAATTAGCCGGGCGTGGTAGCGCACACCTGTAATTCCGGCTACTCAGAAGGCTGAGACGGAAGGATCGCCGGAGCCCAGCAGGTCAAGGCTGCGGTGGCCGGGAGCGGCCACTGCACTTCAGTCTGGGCGACAGAGTGAGACTCCAACTCAAAAAAAAATAAAAAAATAAAATAAAACATATAGTCACATGCCAAAATGTGAAAACTATTTCTTGATGAACCAGAAACAGAAAAAAACCATCAAAGCAGGGAGCGGGGTCTGAAAACTTGTGTCTGCTAGTCGAGGAGGAGGGGGAGCGGTCAGAGGCTCAGCTCCTGTTGATGAAGTGCTGAAGACCCCAGGGGAGAGGCAGGATGCTAGCACAGTCCCTGCTGGCAACTGGGAGCTGGAATCGACCTTTTGTTGAAAAGAGCCTAGACACGCATGCTATTAATGACCATGAGGTTCTATGTCCAGGAAGGTGGGAGCACACAGAAAGAGCCTCATGATGGCACGGGGACAAACTGATGCCGCTTGGTGACAGGCCCCACCAATCCTGTCTTCAACCTGGCTTGCTGCAGGGCAGGAGCCCCAAGGTGCCGATTATGCAACGTGGTTTCAGGCCATTTTGAGGAGAGGGATGAAACCCCACACATCCCGCCTGGGTTTGTCCAGCATCTCCTTAGTTACATAGTGGCAGTGGCGGTCTTGGTTACCAGTTGATTCTCGTGGTATCACAGTTCGTATATTTATATAACAATGGTCCCAAAGTGCAAAGTTGGGAGTACTGGCCTCTGGAATTGTTCTGTTTAATTACAAGTTAGTTAATAGCTAATCTGTTAATTAAACTAGTTAATTATTTGTTAATCTCTTACTGTACCTAATTTGTGAGTTACCCTTTATCATAGCTATACATTTTTAGGAAGAACATAGTGCGTGTAGGGTTCCGCACTGTCTGAGGTTTAGGCATGCTCTAGGGGTATTGGCACGTGTTCCCATCGATGAGGAAGGACAGCTGTGTTTGGATCCAAGCAGCAATTGTCCTGTGGTAGACACGTTCCCACTGCGCCCGCCTCCTGGTGGCCATACCCTTGTAAAAGCCCCTCACCCTGAGGGAGGATGAACTCGATAGAGTCAAGCAGAGCTGGAAGACGTCGCTTCTGAGACTGGATCGCAGAACAATTCTGGCTTCCATCGTGGGTGCCCTCTCTCACCTCGTGGGCTCTCAGGGAAGCCAGAGCCTGCGTTGCAAGCTGACAGGGGCCTGGTGTCTCCAGCCAGGAGCCACTGAGAGCCCAAGACCTGCTGGCAGATGTAAGAGTGACCCTGAGTTGTGCCTCAAGATGATGGGAAGGCTTCCAGTGCAGCCTCGCAGGTTCCCAGTTAGGCCACACCCAGGATCCCAACCCACATAAATGTGTTCTTAAGAAGCTGTGTTTTAGCCGGGCTCGGTGGCTCAGGCTGAAGTGAGTGGATTGCCTGAGCCCGCGGGTTCGAGACCTGCCTGGGCAGGCGAGACCTCATCTCTACAATAAATCAAACAATTAGCTGGACGTGGTAGCGCATGCCTGTAATTCCAGCTACTCAGAAGGCAGAAGGATCACCAGAGCCCAGTAGGTCGAGGCTGTGGTGGCCGGGAGCAGCCACTGCACTCCAGTCTGGGCGACAGAGTGAGACTCCAACTCAAAAAAAAAGAAGCTGTGTTTTGGGGACATTTTTCTTCAGCAGAAGATCACTAATTAGATAATTGCAGCTAAATGGTAAGTTTAGGGCCACAAGTACTAAAGTGAAAAAAAGAAGAAAGACTGGAAATAAGTCCTAATTGTTAAATAATTAAAATAAGAGGCAGAGCGCGGTGACTCAAGCCAGCACTTTGGGAGGCTGAGGCAAGGGGATTTCCAGAGCCCATGGGTTCGAGAACAACCTGGGCAACTTGGCAAGACATCATCAAAAAATTAGCTGGGCATGGTAATGCGCACCCATAGTTCTCGCTACTTGGAAGACTGAGGTCTATGCTGGGGTGGCCGTGAGCATGCCACCGTACTCCAGCCTGGGCAACAGAGTGAGACTCCAACTCAAAAAAAAAAAAGACCAGATTAATAAAATGAGAAATAAAGGAATGATGAGAACAGTAAACAAAAGCTAGTTATTTGAAAAAAACTAATAACACTGTCAAGGCACTGGTAAGTTTTATCTTAGAAAAAAAGAAAAAGCAAAAATAAATAATATTAGAAGTGAACAGGGGCATAATTATAGAGGCAGACTTCTAAACACTGAGAGAATGTTATGCATAATAAATGTGAAGACGTAGACAAAAGGGACAACTTGGGGAGTCAGGAGTTGCACTGTTCCTGGGACTCTGCGAAATCGATAAGACACACTCATTTCTTGAATGGTGACTATCATGGAGAGACAGGTTGCTCTTGTGCAGACAGACCCACACTGCAGCCTCTGAAGAAGCGCTGAAACCTATCTGCTGTTCAAGGTGGTGGTCACAGAGGTAGCAACAAGGTGTCACTTTATATCTTTCAGACAGCGAATCTTGAAAAGAACAGTGACGCCTGCAACTGGTGAGAAAATGGAGGAGAAGGGCTTTCCTCCATTGTCTGCATCAGTGCTTTGCTATGGCTGTAAACGTCAGTGGGGGTTGACTTTGGAGAGGGTCATCCTCTGAGGTGGCTTAGATCTGTTTTTGATTTTTTTTCCCCCCTTATTTGTAGAAAATGCTTAGTCCTTCTCTCTCCAAATGTCTCTTTGGCCCCATTCTTTCTCTAATTTTCCTTCTGGGAGTCAGTTACATGCTTATTAATGCATTTCGTATGATCTTACAGCCTTTGGGATTCTGTGTTGTATTTTCCTGGGCCTTTTTTTCTCTTTGTAGTTTGTGAGATTTCTATTAGCTTGTCCTCAACTTTGCAATTCTCCTCTCAGCTCTGTCCAGTCCATTGTTAAGCCCATCCAAGGCAGTCTTCATTGCTATTTTTAAAATTCTAGCATTTGTCATTTGTCACTTTCTTACAGTTTTCAACTCTGCTGAAATTCCTCATCAATCAAACAGTAGATTTTGTAGATCAGAGCTCTTTTAGATTTTCTCGTCAATGTCTTCAATATCGTGTATCTCTGAGTCTGCTGATGACTGTCTCTTGATATGGATTTTTTTAGTTGTTTTTAGTGTGTCTCATGCACTTTGGATGTTGGACATCGTATTTAAGAAAATAGAGGCAGAGGTGAATTGTATGAAAATAGACTACCTTTTTTTCTCTCAAGCAGGGGAAGTTAACTCTCTCTGTAAAAGGCCAGATAGTCAGTGTTACTTATGGCCACACGACCTCTGAAGTATGACTTACCTGAGGCTGATACAGCTATCCTCCCATACAGTCGGCCCCTTCGTGCCCTCAGCTGCACACCCACAGTCACTCTGAACCCACCCGTGCAGAACCCTGAGGATGAGGAAAACTGACTTCTGGTGCCATTTTACATAAAGGATTGAGCATCTGTGGACAGTGGTCTTCCTGGGTGGGGTGGACAGTGTCTGCAACCAACTCCTCACAGGTAGGAAGGGCCGTCCGGCCATCCTGCCTCCTTCTGACCCATGTTGACACCCGTGTGTCTCTCTGCATCCTTTCACTTTCATCCTAACTGTATTTGTATTTCTTGTGGATGGCATGTAGTTGGGTTGTATGGTTTTTTAATCCCCCCTGCCAGTCTATGGATTTTAACCACTGCATTTATACTATTTGCAATGAATGAAGTTACTCATCTGGAATTGCCATTTGACTTTCTGTTTTCAGTTTGTTTTCTGTTTTTCATTTACCTTTTTTTCCTGCCTTCCTGTGAATACCTACACTCTTTTTGGAATTCCGTTTTGATAGCCCTGTGGTCTTTTTGGGCCTTTTTTTATGCAGATCTGCTCTGGAAGTGATAGCGTACATACATAACTCGCCACATGTTGGCAGTCCAGGTGAGCGCTAGAAGCCTTCTGCCCCTTCATTCTCTCTGTCTGCCCTTGTTTATAACATAACCATCTTAGACATTCCTTCACATTAATCGAGAACCACATCAGTGTTGTAATTTTGCTTCAACTGTATCAAATATACTGCAGAAACCAGAGGTGGAAAAGGGAGGACGTGGGTGTGTCCACGTTTGGCTCTTTCTTGTTCCTTCTTCCAAGGGGCTTGTGAGTACTGGCGCAGAGCTTTGCTGTCTTACGACTGTTTTATGCTCAGATTCCCAAGGACGGTTGGCTCTGATGAAACAGTGACAGAACCATAGTGTACTTATCTGTAAACATAAAGAGTGACATGACAGTGCCGAGAAATGAGGTCGTTTTCTGAACTAGGTGTTTTTCTTGGAAGCGGTGTGACCCTGCCACTCCCTCTAGTATGGAAGTCTCACGACTGAGGTGGCACAGTGACGGGGAGCTTTTGGGTGAGGAGCTGAGTGGTGTCCCTCCATAATCCATTATGTGAAATGCCTGATTATCACCATGCTTAGTCCAAAAGATTTTAACCCAAAGCCTTGAGTAACTGATAAACATAGTGCCAAAGAGTCTTGACAGAACTCATCTAGCAGAGCTTTTCTGCATGATCTTTCCAATGCTGTTGTCGTTTTAAAACAATTACTCTTATGTTGGTTAACACTATTGCAAGAAGAAAAACACTGACTCTGTGTTGGGGTTTCCTCTCGTTATAAGGCACAAGACCTAAATGTCATTGAAGAAGTGATTCGGATGATGTTAGAAATAATCAACTCCTGCCTGACAAATTCTCTTCACCACAACCCGAACTTGGTGTATGCCCTGCTCTACAAACGAGACCTCTTTGAACAATTTCGCACTCACCCTTCATTTCAGGATATAATGCAAAATATTGATCTGGTAAGTGTGAATGGAGATATTTATTATGATTCTTTTTTAAGTACTAAGGCAGAGAAAGTTTAATTTAGCAACCCTTGCTAAGAACTTCAGTATAAGTCTCTTCTTTCAACATTACTTACATTTGCAGTCTGTTTTGCTATAATTGTATCCTATTTTTCTGTGTGTGTTTATCATATATACACATGCATGCATGTTTAATAGAATTGAGATCATACACTGCACACTTCTCTGTTATGCCATTTTCACTTAACATTTAGATCACCTGCCTTTTTCTATAGGGGTCATCAGTTCTTTGAAAATCTCACATTTTCATTTAGCCCATACTGTAGATGTCCTAAAATATATTTAACCATTATCCTGTTATTACTTATTTTCTCCTAATGTTTTATGCCAATCATAATTAACTAACAATGCGTAAATAAGTCTTATCTCATATTTTGAAATTAATTACTAGTATGGTTGAATATTTTCCACAGCTCTGTGAATTTTTGCTTCCTGTCCTTTTAGAAATACTTTTTGCTGAATTTTCTGTCATCATATTACTGTTTCTGATTCAGCTAGGTTTTGTAAATATTTCTTGATTTGCTAATATTGAGCCTAACAGTGCTAGACTCAAAAGTAAACTGAAGAGCCACTGTCCTGTCCTTGTGTGAGTTGTTTTTAGGAAGATGCTTAATAATTTAATTATCATCCAACATCACCATAGGCTTTCCATCATAAGTAGGCACGTGCCCATACCTTTTCCGAGGGTGTGCACCCAGCAGCAGGACTGCTGGGGGGCAGTCCGTGAGTAACTCCTGTGGCTTCACATCCTTGCAGACACTTAGTTTGATGGTCTTGTCCCATGTATAATGACATCTCATTGCAGTTTTAATTTGTAGTTTCTTGGTTAGTAATGAGGCTAAGAGTATTCGTGTGCTTACAGCCCGTTTGGATCCATCTTTTGGGAAGTACCTGCTCAAGTCTTGCCAGTTTTTCTATTGAATTGTTTATATTTTTCTTATTAATTTGGTGTTTTATTACTATTCTGTTACGTTCTAGACTCTTGACCTTTCTTGGTTATGTGTTGCGAATATCCCATCAGCACAACTGTACAATTCTGGAAACGCTAAAACTCCTCTCAAAACGGGCAAGCAGATGAGGTTGAGGGTGTGAACCCCATAGTGGACTGCTGGGTAATGGTGTCGCGGCACATGGGGCATTCAGCCTCCTCTCTCCCGGAAGCCCTGCCCCGGCTGCTCCTGCATGTACTGGCTGCCCTGCACAGCAGCAGTGTCCCCCTGGGAGCCCCTGCGCTGTTCTCCGCTGGTCTTGCTGCCTTCTTCCAGGATTATTGCTTTGTGCTGATGAAGCAGAAGCTGCAGTTGCTTTCTGGGAAGAGGATGTATACGAGATCTTTTTTTTGTTTTTTGGTTTTTTTCTAATTTCTCAGTCTGAGGTAGTTGTCTTCTCCCCTTATGTACAGCCTGGACTCTGTGGAAGCTTTTCTGATCTCTGTATTCCTGTGTCCTGAAATGCCATGATTTGCTGTACGTGGATAATCACATTGAGTCCTTGAGGGCTTGTTTAGTCTTGAGACTCATGCCCAGTACGTCAAATATTCTTTTAGATTATTTCTTTCCTGCTGCTTCTGTGGGAAACTTCCTAGTCCCATTACCTTGGGAGTCCCCTGACTTTTCAGGCTCATTAAACCTCATTTCCTGGGCTGGTCCGTGTCATCAGGTAGGAATGCTCCAGCCTTGCGTGCCTGGGACCAGTAAGCCTGTCTGGCAGGGCTTTGGAAGCTGAGTGAGAGGAGACTAGGCCAAGCAGGAGATGGTAAAGGTGAAGCCTGGCCTTGGAGTGGAAACCTCCTGTTTCCTTTCAGGGTGGCAGCAACACACAGATTCTGATAAAATTTAGACATGTGAGAATGTCTCTCTCTGTTCTCAAAAGCCCATTTACCAAAGGAGGCTATTCTTCTCTTGTCCCCGTAGCGTCTTGTGTAGCTGTCAGGTACTTAGTTGAAATCAACGTTGGCTGGGCACCTAGTCTTCCATGCTCCAGCCTCGTGACACTTAGGATGTGTCAGCTACTCAACGCTCTGGAGCCTGCACGATTATGTGAGTTGAACCACTACTGAGTGTGCTGTTGCAGGCCTGTTCAATGATTTGCTCCGACTCACTGCTGTTTCATGACTACTAGTGAACAGAAATCAATATGGAAGCTCCTGGCTTTCGGTTTAATTGGTGTTCTCGTTTGCCTTCCTTGAGTTGCTTCAACTGTATACCTAAGGGTTACAGCTGTAGCAGAATATTTTGCTATGTACATGCACGTCTTTTCCCTAAACATATGTGAACATCATTCAGATGTCATTAACAGAGCTGGAGAGCAGGTACAGTTGCCATCAGTGCAGTCAAGACACAGCAGAAACACCATTGCACATGAGCTTATCTGTTTCTTAGAGCTAGGCCTGACAATTCAGGCAAACCGTGATGTTCTTGATGTTAAGAGCCAGTACTAGACTGAGCTCGGTGGCTCAGCCTGTAATCCAAGCACTTTAGGAGGCCAAGGAAAGTGGATTGTCTGAGCCCATGGGTTCAAGACCAGCCTGGGCAACTCGGCGAGACCTGGTCTCTACAATAAAACAAAAATTAGCCAGGCGTGGTAATGCATGCCCGTAATTCTGGCTACTTGAAAGGCTGAGGCGGAAGGATCGCCGGAGCCCAGCAGGTCAACACTGTGGTGGCCATGAATGTGCCACTGACAAGATCATGAAGCAAATTACTGCCCAATGGACACCCAACATGAGTTAACCCTGTCTTCTTTAGTGGGATAGATGACTTCCGACACTGCTAGGCTGTGGTCTACAGGCTAAGAATGTTCCCACTACACAGTTGCCCCGGCCACTGAAGGGTTGCAGTGCTGTGGGGGAATTGTTTTTCTCTGTGAGGGCAGCTTGACAGGCCCGTTATTGTCTCTCAGAAACTACTTCTAGCCATGCTAGTCGCAGATTTGTCCAAATTCACTTCTGTTTCTTGTTAGTACTATTTTTGGAAGTAAAATAGTGAGTTTAAGACATATGCTTGTGAGTAAAGGCTTAACAAAACTCTTTCTCCTTTGACATGAGATATTGGCCTTGGGTTAAACTGCTTCTAGCTCGATTCTCTGGAAGTCTAGTGCAGGTGGAATGTCAACTGTGTTATCAGGTAACACTCTGTGATAAAGCGATGGTTGGATAGAACGACATTGGAAGGAGAAGCGGAGTCTTGGTTGGTAGCACGATGAATGAGCTGTGAATGCTTGATGGGAAGCTGTCACCGTGGGCATCTCTGAGTGAGAGAACTTTTGCAACCAGGCATGTCCTTTACAGGCTCCCGGAAGCTGAGACTGTCAATAGGATGTTGACTTCTGTTTGGGACATGGTTTCTTAGCGGGCAGCCATTGCATGCACCCACCAGAGTCCTGTTCTCCTGCATCTGAGCTGTCATTTGAGGGGCCAGGGCCAACACTGCTGTGGGGATTCCATGGAAAACCAGAGCCTGTGGCTATGCTGTTGGCCTGCTGTTTTTCCTGTTCTTTTATTCTTTTGAATTAATCTGGTACCAGCTGGCCTGCTGTAATCTTGAGACTCTCTCTGTCTAATTGGGCATATCCTCCGAGAGCAGGCCTTGTAATGTTAAAACGGTGTTTTCTTGTATTTGCTTATGAATATGAATCTTTCAAACTCCAGGGCGGGAGAGACTCCTAGATTTACTCAGGTCTTTGCATTATAGAGATACCCAACACGTCCCTTCCAAGCCTCCGCATCTCCAAGCTGTGCCATCCGTTCATTTCAGCCTGCCCTGCGGCAGCCCTCTGCCCCAGCCATCCTGACTTTCTCCTTTCTCTGGATCACTCTGATCCCTATTCTTTGTTGGGTCCTTCCTAGCTCTCCTTTTTGCTTTCTTGAAGGATCATCACCTGAACTGTGCACTGCCCGCACTGGTATGCTCCAGTAGGTGGGCAGTGCTCTGCTGAGTTCCAGATTCTTTCACTGTGAGGACCAGATTTTCTTTGTGTTTCGGATAAAAGACTAAACCAGAGGCTTTTCCTGTGGTCATGGCTGTAGTTCGGTGGGCCATCAGGCTGTGATGCATCGTTTGGGTCATGTAGCTCTAAAAATGTACTTAGACCCCCGACAGCCGCCTGCCCCCTCCTGCTCCCTGTGCGCCCGCCAGGCCTCATGGCCCGCTTGCTGGCCATCCTCTGCATTGCCTCATGTAGCTCACAGCAAAAACAAACCTGTAGGTTGCTTCATTTTAATTTTCAGTGTACAGATGAGGGAGCCAGCTCACAGAGAATAATCATATATTCAGAAATGATGGAGCCAGGACTCAGGCCCAGGAGCGGAACAAGAAGTCCCGGTTTGTAATCGTCGTACCCCATTGCTAACTTGTTCATGGAATGGAAACATGGGCAGCTCCCAGACCTGGAGCTCCCACCGTCTGGATTCTCCTTCAAGATCACCTCGACCCACAGCAAATCGGTCTTTACTCTATCAGTGGTGGAAATGAAGAACATTCTTTGTGACAAAGCTGTTGAGATCCTTTAAAATGTCTCTGAGAGACCAGGATCAGCAGCTTAACCTGTAATCCCAGCACTTTGGGAGGCCGAGGCAAGTGGATTGCCTGAGCCTGTAGGTTCGAGACTAGACGGGGCAACTTGGTGAGACCTCGTCTCTATAATAAATCAACAATTAGCCAAGCCTGGTAGTGCATGCCTGTAATTCTGGCTACTTGGAAGACTGAGGTAGAAGGATCACCGGAGCCCAGCAGGTTGAGACTGGAGTGGCCGTGGGCATGCCACTGCACTCCACCCCGGGCGATGGAGTGAGACTCCAACTCAAAAAAAAAAAAAAAAATGTTTCCGAGAGCCAGATGTGGTGGTACGTGCCTACAATCCCAGCTACTCAGGAGGTTGAGGCAGGAGAATTTCTTGAGGCCAAGAGCTTGAGACCAGTCTGGACAACATAGCAAGAC